GTTTGTAGTGTTGTTGTAGCCATGTTGGTTCCAGGATATGAGAGAGACAAGGTAGGTGAGATCACATCTTTTGTTGGACCAAGTTCTGTTAATGAAAGGTATAGGCTTCCAAGCTACACAGAGCTCTTCTTCAGGTCTTCTTTGAGTCCTGGGTACCTCACAAGTGTGTACTTTCCACCAACCAAAGTTGGTCTAATAAAAGAGATTACCTCACCCACCTCATCTCTTGCTCTAAAAAAATTGACCCCCCCCCCAATTTTTCCAAATTTCAGTCTACTCAAGAGTTGGTCAAAAGATGGAGAGAAGGGAAATTCTTAAAAATCTAGTTGAAAAATGTTTCCATTTATTTTTCAATTTTTTTCAAAGTTTGAAATGTTAATTTTTCTAAACTTGAAAACTTCCAACCAGCTCAACGACTAGTAAGTTTGGGCCTTATGTGCTCACTCTAAGGCTGGCCCTATGATCTGTTGGCTCCTGAGCTTTGTTTGTCTATCATAATTGAAAGTTCTTCACTTGAAGCATTTCTGAGTTCTTGGTGTATGTTTCACCAGCCATTGGACACATACCCTTCTGCCAGGCACCCAACAGATCCCTGTTTCACATTTGCAAAGTTCTCCAGCAGAATTAACCTTGCTCATCAGTCACTGAAGTCAATGAAGGGTCACCTTCCAAGGACCCACTCAGCCTGGCACAGGCTTGGCACCAACTAGGAGCAACAGATTTAATATTAATATTTAATATTAATGTTCATTAATGTTAATTTTTTTCTTTGTAAGCTTAAATCCTGGTAAGTAAAAACAACTAATTAAACATCGAGGTCACTTTGCAGAACACTTGGTGAAATATGACAAAATACAGGACTTATGAATGACCATAACATGGGCATTCTGAAGTCCAGCAGTCTGAAATGCAAATTGCAATATATCAGCTGTGACCCAAGAACCCCTTAATGCCAGCAGGCAAGGGGATTATAGGAATATCCTGATTCTGATATGAGAATCATCATGTTGGCTTACAATTTTTTTAGATGAAAAGTTGTATTGTTGTTTGTTGTTGATATTGCAGTTGAAACTTTGGGTCTCCTGGAATGAGATCAAGGCCCCATTGTGACAGATACTGTACAAACATATAGGATGAAATCCTGGTCCTATTGAAATCAATAGGAGTTTTGCCATTGACTTTAGTGGGGCCAAGATTTCACCCATAGTGAAAGCCAGTCCTTGCCCCTAAGGATCTGCAGTTTAAATGGACAAAATAAAGGGTGGGAGGAGAAACAGAAGCACAGAAAAGTGAAGTGACTTGCTCAAGGTGACACAGCAGGCCAACAGCAGATCCAGGAATAGAATGTAGGTATCCTTGTATAAGTTACTTACTAACTACACTGAAGATTTGGGATTGCTCTCTGCTCTGTAGGGGAAGCCTAATTACTCACTTAGGCCGACATCACTTGAGATTGTGAAGCCATCTGTATCTCATGAATATAAATTCCGTTCTCTCCAGTACAGTTATAGCATTATGGGACTGGCATGTTCCATATATAGAGAGGGAAAGTGAAACACATTCCTCTCTTTAAAAAACAGGAACAGTGTTCTGGCAACATACAAATGATCATGCATCCTGAAAGATAGATTATTTCCTTTTACTCCTGCTGACATGCAATATGTCAATTAAAATATTAACATATTTTTTAATTCAGCAGATTGATTTTCACTTTGCCTTATTTTAAAGTGATTCATCTTTGTTTGCTGCCTGAAAGAGATGTGATATGTTTATTCATTGTCTAGTCGAAAATAGTGATTGGTGTATGAATCACTTACTTCCAGTCTCTTCTTCCTCTCTAACACTCCTTCCATAAACCACTGGCAGCTTTGTGCATTACAGAGGCAAAGGAATGCAATAGCAGGTGGTGGTGTGCATCCTGAATTAAGGCACATTGACAGAACCAGGGTATGGCTACAGTATGTGAGCCTTATTCTGCTCTCTGATTAGTTTTACACTGGTGTAAGTTCATTGACTTCAGTGGAGTTTTTCATTATTTATATTGGTGTAAGTGAGATCAGAATGAGGCCCCATGTAGCTGCACTAGACGTAGCTTTATAAACAGCGGTATCTATCCATTATTTTTGTGAATATCACATTCACACCAAATTTAAAAATAAAAATATAAAAAAAGAACTCATAGACACTAGTGTGAGAATATGCAAAGATAAAATCACAAAACATTAAGGCATCCAAGGATCAGAGAACGACACAGGGAAACTGGACTCTCATTTTGTTACTGACTCGTTGCATGACCAACACTGGGTCAACATTTTCGAGTTTAGATTCCTAAAGCTGTGCAATGAAATTGGGAAGTGAAATAATTGACCCAATGTTCAGAAGTGCTGAGCTCCTGCAAATCCCACTGAATTTTTAGATACCTAATGATGTAATTAGGTAGATAACTTTAGGCACCTACATTTGAAAATGTTGGCCTTAATCTGTACCTCAAAGGGCTATTGTGAAGAGTACTCTATGTTTCTAAGGTCTTTAGGGTTACTTGAATGAAATGTTGTTCAAGTGAAAAGAAAGAGTGAAAACAATAATAATATAGGGTCTAATATAGGAATATTTGTTAAACAGATCAAAAAGCATTCTAGATAATCAATAATATTATAAACTACACAGATTTTTAGGGCCAGATTTCCAGCCCAGCCATAAGACCATTCTGGTGCTCACAATTTTGTGAGCACAAACAAGTGCAGGTACATTTGCGTGCCCACAATTATTTCCAGGTGTGGTTAATAAAATTAATAGTGCTGTGGCATTTTTCAACTGCAGATCCAATGTCCTGTACAGAGGTACAAGTGCTGCCATTTTTCAGATCTAGAAGCTAATAAGAGAAGTGACTTGCTTCAGGTTAATTGATGACCCAATGGCACCTCCGGAAGTAGAACTCAGATGTCCTGACTCAGACCAGAGGCCTACCCACTGGACCACACTGCCACTCTATTTAACTGGAAGGAAAATTTTCAATGAAAAATTATAAAATGTTCCTTATTTTCCAGTCAAATGTTTATCATTTAAATGTCTAAGACTTGATCCTGTAACCAGTAATGTCAAGGACAAAGTCTCCACTGATTTCAAAAGTGCAGGACTCTAAACAATTGTTTAGAGAAAATCAGATACTTTAGTTTCTAAATGACCTGAACTGCAAAAAAAAATTTAGTGTCACCAATGACAGGCTGAAAAACACAGGCCAATGTTGGGCAATCTGTCTCTTAGTATTTACCTTCTCATAGCAGTAATTAAACTAATGAAGAATCTATGCCTGTCACTTCACTCACATAGGTTCCATTAGAATCAAATCTCTCCTTTAAAATATGGAAACCTGAGCACAGAAATTGCTCAACAACTGACTACCCATTTTGATCAGAACCATACTTCATTTTTGAAAGCAATTATTATGGTTCTTGACAAATGTAATATTCTTGCTGTAATCTTATTAATAGTAGCAGCAGTACTAAGACAAGTTGCAGTCAGGATGAATTTACTGCCAAGGCTAAACTATTTATTTTCAATGATACTCATTTTTCAAAGAGCAGATGGTTTAATTCTCCAACCAACTGCTAATAAATAGCATTTGGAAAATCAGAGGTGGGAAATTAAATAATATTATCCACTCTTGAAAAATGAAAGTTTTGAGACAGGTATGTATTTCTTTCTCAAGTGGATTTTTATCTTTTGACTACAGCAAAGAGACTGGGAGATATGCAGTGCCTAAAGTGGTATAAAACATAAAGAAGTTCATTGTAAATAACCACCTTTTCAAAAGCAAGCTTTGGGGTTTGTAATTTTGGGTGTTGAAAATGTTGGGTGAATAAATTTAGAAACTCAGGATACCCAAAACCTTGGAGAAGTTTGCCATAAATATAGTGATATGATTTGCACAAAGACTTGAGGTTAATATATTTATTTTTCTGTACTGGAGTGGGGAAGGGGAGATGTATATGTGGAATACTTAGTTGAACTCTATCTCAAATGTATCTTCAGAAGAAAGGTAAAGTTTTTAACAGCCAAGTGTCATCTGAAGCTTTGTCTACAGTAGACAATTGCATCATTGCTGTTTGCAGTGGTTTTTTCATAGTGTTTCAGGTTGCAACACAGCATCCACACTGGCCATGATGTTTGGAAGTAGAGTAAGCACCACATCTAATACACCTTGCTCCCTTCTACCATTAATAGATTTGTAGATTTCTGTGCGATAGCAACTTGGCCAACACACCATGGATTGAACCAGAAGCCTCCAGAGCTAAAAGCATGAGTCGCTACAGCTTGAGTTAAAAAAGTATCTTTTATCTTGCAGAAAATTGAAAAGGGTCTGACATTAAATTTAACCTTCACTTCTGAACAGCACCTAGCTGGTACTATAATAGCCTCAGATCCTCTGCAGATCGGGCACAGAGGGGGACCTGTAGTACACACTCAGTAGTGGGTGACAGTCACACCTATTCCATGCTGCCTGGCAGAGTTTGCTGGCCCATTCCTGGAACAGGTGCATGATGTTTATGACATGGCATATACTGTATATTTTGCAACTGCTGACAGTTTTGGATTGTTCCAGTGGATGCTGTGAATGGCCCTGTCTCGAACAAGGGTCTGTAGATGTATTGCAAGGACTAGGGATGACACCCTGCTAAGCCGTCACACTTACATGTGGTATGGTAGAGAGTCCCTGGAAGCCTGGAACGTACCTGATAAGTGCCATATCTTTGGGTGGTGGTGCTTGGGGGATCAGAGAACTGTTGTTATGACTGTTGAGGAAGTTCCACCTTACTTCCTTCCCATCTCATACAAGGACCCAAAACACTACAGATCATCCAGGGAAGGGAACTGGGGAGAACATTAGTTCATGGGGAATTAGGTAGAGATCCGGGATTTACTCAGGTGGGCTAGATGGGTTGTCTTGTGTATCTGTGTGTGACATTACTAATGCCTTGGTTCTTGTTTTCTTTTTTTCAGACCTCAGAAGACTGTGATACAGCCGAAGCAGTTGCATCACTATGGTGCCAATCCCAATAAGGTAAGCGCAGTCATGCATTGCTCTAATGCAGTCAAACCTTGAGGTGCAAGTTCTCATATCATGTTCCCATTTAATCTTGGTCTTGCAAGAATGTGGAAAAAAATCCTCCATAATCTCCTTACATGGGATTCATGGATTGTCTTCCATGCTTCCAAGCATGTCATGCTTCACCACTAAGCCATCGGAGATCAGGCTTGTAGCTTGCATTAAACTGTCTATTGTAGGTCAGTCTAAGAAGCTTCTGTCTTGCAGAAAATTGAAAAAGACTGTTTGGAACAAGGAAAATCAGAAAGCGCCAGTTTGCCACATGTCCAATACTGACTGTAAATTCTTGGACTGCTATTGTAGCAGTGTTGGGCCCACTGGAGTTAAGCCAGGGATGGATTTGGCACTTGATGTCTTTTCTGTTGTGGGCCAAAAGAAACAGCTTGTGAGGAGGATGAGCCAGGGGATGAGATGACAGAAATGGCAGTCTATAGTCTCGTATCAAACTGCAATTTGAACATGTCCTTCAATAAAAAAATAATGGTGTAATCTCAATGTATGCTAGGGTTGATAACAAGGAAAATCAGAGAACCACTGCTGCCACCTAAGACTTTAACCAAATAAACAAAAAAATGGCCTAGGAAAGAAGAGTTCTGGAGGCACCACGATTTACAATCCTGTTGGCATAATTGACTATCTGAGAAAATGAAATCTCCTGTGTTTTTAGATGGATAGGAGTGTTTGGTTTTAGCAGTAGAGTTCCTCTCCTACACTCCTCCTGCAGGGAAGTTTTCTGTATGTCTGTTTCACCTTCTGAACACATTATCATGGAGAGATCAGCTGGCAAAAAGGGTCCAGCAGTGAGGGCATTAGCCCGGGTCATAGGAAAATGCGTTCATTTCCCTGATCAGACACAGACTTCTTATGTGACCTTGGGCAAGTCACGTAGCCTCTTCGTGCCTCAGATCTTCATATGTAAAATGGGAGTAAATAACACTTCCCTACCTCACACAAATGCGGTGAGGATAAGCACAGTAAAGATAGTGAGGTGCTCAGATCCTGTGGTCATGGGGGCTGTACAAATACTTTAGCTAGAAGGCAGACTTTCTGGTTATAAAAGGGTCACAAACCCGAACAAAAATAAGCATGCAGAAAGAAGGATGACTACAAAAGCATGCAACATTATCAGAAGCAGTATTTAATGCTGCAAATAATGCAACCTATTCAGTTATATGATACAATGGGAGAGAAGGAAGGGTAGGATGAAGGTTTATAGCAATATGGTCATGCAGATGCTCCAGATAGTTATGCCTATGGTTAATTGTCTAGCAATATATGAACATGTGATTTAAAAAAAAAACAAATCCCTCTCACAGTTACAGCCAAAAAATACCATCAGTCTTTGACTATTGGCAACCCTTGACTACAAATCTATGATTATTTTCTTTGTAAATTGGAATTTAACCCACTAAAATACTAAGCGAAGTACCTCCCTTGCTCATAACCCACTCTGCCATTTTCCCCTACACAATCCAAACTTCTCAGTTTTCCCCTAGGGCCTCTTTTTCTGTGTCCTCCCCACACTGTTCAGTTGACTATCATTCTTCCCTCTTCACATATGTCCCCACTAGAGCTATGCAGAGGATGGATACTCAATTTCTGAAGTATTTTTGAGATTTCATAATTTGGCTTTGTTCTAAAATTAGGAAAGTTTAAAAATTCTCCACCAAGGAAAATTCTGAACAAAAATTGCTGAGGGTCAATCAAACTATTTCCTTTCAACAAAATCAAATTGTTTTGTCTCGATTTAGACCTTTTAAAAATTATATTTATATATTTTTTTAAAAATGCAAAATAAAATGTCATTTCAAAACAAAAAAAAAACCCAAAATGTTTCATTCAAAAAATGTCAGAGCAGGATATTTTAACGTTGTCATAACTTTCTTCTGGTTTTCTTCTAAAATGAAATTTCAGCAAAATCTCTAGTTTCACAAAGCATTTAGATAGAATGGCACATTCCAGCTGAATGAGGTTCTGGGAAAATTCTCCCACCATCACTAGCTCCCACTCATTGTACTAAAGAATTCAGAAAAGTAATTCCTAACCTCACATGGGCTTTTGTGAGGGAGACATGCTGCCCCATGTGGATTTGATGGATGTCAGGAGTGGGGTAGTGCTGGGGTGTGGTGTCTGCTAGGGTCCTCCTTCTGCTACACAGAGGAGGGACTGGGCCTTCATGCTTCAAGCTAGCCACTGGGCAGCCATGGGCTCCCCCTTTGTGCTTCCCAGGGGAGCAGAATATAACTGCCATATATCTGTAAGTCAGCAAGAGTCAAGATAAAATTATAACTGATAAACACTTAGTACCTAAAAAAGAGCCTTAAACTGCGAAGCAAACTTTTCTGGAGCACTAATGACATTTTAATAGGGCTATCTATTTAGACAGGAGACACCAACCACAGCTGTACTAGATACATTGGAGGCTTCAAGCTTTCAAGAAGGAATGGCGTTCAGCTCTTTGCTTGTAATCTCTGTGGAGATCTACAACATAAGGGACTCTTTTTTGCTGCAAGTTGCACATTTAGCAACTAATTGCTAGTTGCACATCTTACCAATAAGAGAGATGTGCCATTCTTTCATCCCCTTATTAATCAAACAATGATCTGGAAAGGAGGAAGATGCCTCTATTAAGTAGCTTGTCCCTAGTAGAAGTGATTAAAGTTTCTGGCCTGGGCACAAAGAGACCTGTGTGTTATGAATGCTTTGGCAGTGATGGGAAAGATGCACGCATAGAGCAATGAATGGCACTCTGCATCTTGGATGCTTCATCGGAGTGGTTATGAAGGTTTCTTGGAGGTTAGGAGAAGAGGTGGCTTAAACACCATATGGCCAACTCATACATGAGCATAATTGAGTTCATGGTGTTACTATGTTGATTATAACGTGCAATATAACACTGCTACTATACCGGATCCTTTAGAAATAGCCTTTGTAAACACAGTGCACCTGCTTCTTCAGCATTTTCACAAATGGGACACAAAAATAATGACTGATAATAGTGGTCACACTCGTGCATCTTCTGAATATTGTTAAAGCACCAGTTGGGCGTGTAGTTCATACTTATTCATATCTTTAGTCTTTCTAAAGCATGGACTTCTGGAGGCAGAACAGTGCTCCTTTTGGTAAAATAGATAAATGTTTAATACCGTATATAGGAAACAAGAGAAAAGGCTAAAAGGAATGAAAGCTCCTTCATTACGGCCCTAATTCAGGAAAGCATCATTATTCAGGAGAGAGATCTGACTCCATTAAACCATTACTTCAATGGGATTTACAAACATGCTTCTGTGCTTTTCTGAATCAAGGTCCAAACATTTACCATTCATGTATTGCTTCTAGTGCACTGAGACCTATAAGATATTTTCTTACATGTTTTGGACTCAGACCAAAATGGCTTAGTGGATACAGATCTCACACAAGAGATCCTGGTTTTCCATAATTACTTTGATACTACTAGGGAGGGGGAAGGGATAGCTCAGTGGTTTGAGCATTGGCCTGCTAAACCCAGCATTGTGAGTTCAATCCTTGAGGGGGGCCATTTAGGGAACTGGGGTGAAAAAAAACTGTCTGGGGTTTTGTCCTGCTTTGAGCAGGGGGTTGGACTAGATCAGAGGTTCCCAAACTTATTTGGCCTACCGCCCCCTTTTCAGAAAAAAAATTACTCAGCGCCCCCCTTTTCAGAAAAAAATTACTCAGCGCCCCCCTAGAAATCTACCTTCCTTAAGCGAACAAACAGAAAGATGCAGTGACAAATTTACATTCTTTTATGTATCT